GGTTTCATGTGTTCCTCAGGTGGCAAGTCTGTTTCCTCATGAGTTTGTATCGTGGGTCGACAGTTTTAACGCCACGAGGGTCGAAACGTACAGTATTCTGAGCAGCGGAGTCTATTGCGAAAAGTAGACGTTGCGATGCAATTGCGAGTACTACAATCGCGCTTGCAATGCGATTAACATCAGTTAAATTAAGACGGCATTCGAACATAACAAGGTGTCATGTTAGTCACGTGTTCGTCAGGTGGCAAGCCTGCTTCCCTGTGAGGTCGCAGCGTGGGTCGTGGGTCGATAGTTCTAACGCCACGAGGGTCGAAACGTACTGTGTTCTGTGCAACGGAGTGTCTTGCGTTGCGTGGACGTTGCAGCGCAATTGCTGTGAAGATTTCCACTCCACGGTTTCGCGTCGGGGCAAGGACTATCATTCAAAATACCCTTGGGGCATCATCCAAAGGTAGGCATTGTGGTGAAGTAGAAATTTCGTCTCGCGTCAAGTGAACATTGATGATTTTACTCGGTTAAAAATAGACTGCAGTAACTTTTCCGTTTACATTTCATTGACTGCTGTTGAGTTAAGACAGCCTTCGAACATCTCAAGGTGTCCTACTGTTATGTTCTGAGGGATGAAAACTTGTGGTATTATGAAATAAAAACTCACAAATTTGGAAGTGACTCTGAAATTAATGAATTTCTGCTTTGGATTTATATGCCGTACATTAATTTAAAAATATTTATATTGTTATTGAAAATTAATAAACCATTTCAAACAGTATATGTTCAGTATTAAACCAATTCAGTGGTCGCAACAGAAATATAATGGCAATCTATAGCAAATTAATGGTGTAAAATAATCAAACCACAAATTCAATAATACATTTTTTATAGATTTATTAAAACATTGAATCTCATCGCATGATTCAGCAATATTAACTGAATAATAATCTTTTGACGCTAAGGTTATTTTTAAATTATCTTTTTAGCAAATAAATATACTTCAAAAATTCAATATTTTAGAAAATGTTAAGAAATTCAGCTGTTCAAGGTCATAAAAAGAATTTTCATTTAAAATCTTGCAAATTTTTAAATAAATTTATACTGACATCGGGAAAACTATTTTCCAGAAAATACTTTGTGACTTAATGTTTTAATAAATTCAACTTGTAATTAGGTTATTACACATTATTCATTCAGTATTCAGGTAATGAGTTCTTAATTCTCAAGACACTAACTACATACTTGATAATTCTAACCACATACGGTCGAAAGTAAGTTCGGGTTAAGAGTGAACGTATTGATGTTCAAGGTATGCAAAAATAATCAATAAGCTTCTACGTCGCTGGCAATATGCAGCATGCAACGTGAGTGAACCCATGTGTGTCGTTGAAGATATACAGCGCGCAATACGAGTGTCCGCCTAGCAATGTATAGTATTTCGTCCTCTTATTTTAAACATTAATAAAGAATTACTTATTTTTTTTAATTTTTCAAAATATGTTTTCTTTTGAAATCAGTCATTCTTCGAGATTTTATAAAACAATGGGACCAAATATTATAGATTGACGTATTGAAAACAATAAATGAAAAGAAACATATCTCACAAAACCCTGTTTTAATTTATCATAATAATAAAAGTAATAATAATAATAATAATAATAATAATAATTATCATAATAACTGTACTAAAGTGGCAAGTACTAAAGTGACTATAACAATCAGACCGCCATATCTAACTTACCACGTGTCACAAATGTATGCCTAAAAATTGACATAAGATCAGTATAAGCTCCATTGAGTAAAATTATAATACATAACGTAGACATGTATTACTCCTGAGCTTACAAAAGCCAAAATATTGTTCCAGCATTTGTTTGAAGCGGACAGGGAAAATCAGCAAAACCAAACGAAGTGCGCTAGTACTCCAAAATTGTGGACCTGAGTAAAATATTTAAATCAACTTCAAAAGCATCACTGGTAAGTTAAACATTAAACAATGCAGTACCAACCACTGAAATTATTATAAAATGTTAAATTTAGCTATTATAATTTTGACAACGAAAAAAATTGAATCGGTTATTTTTAAAACCCCGCATTTCAGTTGATGTAACTTTGGGGACAACAAGAAAATTTGGAAATGGTTTAACTGTCTGTTAAAAACATATTCTGGTATCTATAAAACTATATCTTGTGCTGAGGAGCGAAACGCAGATTTTTGCAGTATTCTATTTTTAAATTGCCATAAAGTGTAGTCACTTGACTTGAGTGATTACATTATGGTATACTATTGTTGCTGTATGTGTGTCATCAAGAACTTCTTATTCTACAGAGTTCTTTCTTCCAGTGTTTTTTCATGCATCCACTCCTCCTTCCATTTCCTTTAAAATTCCATTCACTGTCTTTACGATTTTTTAATTCTCCATGCGATGCTTGCAGCATGTTCCCATATTGTCTTTCGTTACAGCACATCCTACAAAATGTTTTTTCAGCGGCCCCCCAAGAAATGATTGCCTCTCCTTTCATTGCACAGTCTAAGTCTGGCTGTTCTACTCCTGCATCCTTTTTTCTTTCAATCGCATATATTATTAATTTATCTATTCATCCTTTTCTATTTGGAATTCAGTTTTTTATGTAATACGGGTATTCATGCCCTTGACTCTCTCTGTTTCTTCTAGTAGATCAAATTCCATATGCAAATACCTTCCTTTCTTAAGCTTTCAATCTCCACTCCTGCATACCGTCTTATATCGTACAATCACTTCTCACAGTTGGCTCTTCCTTTTAACTCTTTTCCTTTCCTCTTTCTTCCTTCCCCAGCATCAAGAACATACAAAAAAGTTTTATTCAAGTCGTTCAAAAGGTCTACTTATTCTTCAAAACTAGTTAAATGAGCAAGAAAAAATTCTGGTACAATCAAAACTAATTGTACTAGACATATCTAACAGCAGCATAAAGAGCAAAATTATGCGGAAAGTACTCAGGTTTTAGAAAAATTGTTAATGACCTTATTTAAAAATATATCATTAAGAAACTCATTTCATTAAGGAAAAAAATTCAATTTTTAGTATGTTAGTGGTAGAAAGACTCGAAAAAATTTTGAACTTTTACAATCTTCATAAAATCGAGGTTTTTAACAAAATGAGAATTGCACCATTATCTGAAACGACTTTCACACTACTCAACGACAACATTTAATCAAAATCGATAGAGCAGTTTTTGAAAATTTTGAATGTATCCCAGGAGCACCAACATCCCCAAATATTAAAATTTATATAAAAAATAAAAAATTTTGGAGAAAATCGGCTGAACAGTTTAGCCCTTACCGTTGTTCACAAACGGACGGACGGACGAACGGACAGACAGACGTTTCTTCTTCATTCCCTTTTTTGGCAGAAAGGAGCCACAAAACATAAATTCTGGCTACACTACGTCTTAGAGACCCCCCCCTAAATTTAGCAACTGGATGTACCCTTTTTTTGTTACCGGGGATCTGTAGAAATTTCTTTGGCCGAAAATTCGCCGTTCTTTCGCGCAACATTACATAATTTTCTCTCTACTATGTAGTGAGAAAGTATCAATCACTGTTTATTGTGAACAGAAATCATGTTTTACAACATGATTTTGAAAATAAATTTGAAATATTTTATATTTACGAAAATGACTTTGATACATATTTTTTTGAACCCCTGATATTATATAACATATTATGTTTAAGGCAAAAATATTTGTTTTTTCAGCAGGACTGGGCAATAAGTTTTTCGGTAAAAAATTCGACGTTTTCCGGTGCCCAATTAGAAAATTATCTCTTCTTACGAAGTAAGTGCGAGAAAGAAAAAAATTGAAAGGGTAAAGCAAACAACTGGGCAGATTAATGGGAGAAGGTTAAACAAGAAGAGAATAACAAGATTTGTATTGAAAAATTAACATTTTTAATGAGTGGAATGTGAATTGAAGCTAACAAATTCAGTTTTTAATTTAAAAAATTCAATACATATGGGCATTATGTGTGGCGAGTACGAATATACTTTTCGTATATAATAAATAAATTACAATCATTGTATCGCGTGTAATTCTATACAGTTTTGACATTTATGTGACGCTGCCCTACAATGATGACATCAGTGACGACTCATCACTGTAGCTTCGCCACTGGTAATTAATAGGTTTGTTTGATTCATTGATTAGAGATTCCGGGCGCGTCAACTGCTAAGGTCATTAGTGTTGTCATGATTTAATCTCGGGAGGTGCAGGCGATTTTCCCTCGCTGGATGGTGAGATCCAGCGCCGATCTACACGTTGTCTTAAGGGGATTTTCGCCAACCAGGTATCCTCCACCGTGACACCGCACCAGCCGGGACAAGCTCTAAGCTCCTGACATATGTGGTAGTGGAGTGCATGTACGTATGTGTAAGTATAGGGCAAAGAAGAGGTGCGCGGCTTGTTTTTTGCGTTACTGTCCCGACATTCACAAGCTCCGGCATTCGACTGGTGTTGATCGGAGAAACCACGGAAAACTACTGATCAGAACAGCCGGCCGCTAGAATTCCCGCATTGACAGCGGCTTAACTCGACCTAGCTATGTAGTCAGTGTCAAAAAAATACTGCCACCATCGGGACTCGAACCGATCCCTAGGGCTTCCCAGTCAGAGTAACTGCTGTGACATCAAATGATGCCCTGAGCCACCTTTATCTGTGGCAATAAAAGGGAATGGAAATAAGTTTCTGCCATGTATCTCCACTAGCGAGCCCACTGTTTCCCCCTGTACCGCGAAGGGGCATGGTCTGGCGAGGCGTTACGTGGTGGGAGTGAGGGAAGTCTTCTTTCATTAGAAAAATTCACACTGCAATCAGAAAGGTGCAAAGTGTGTTTCACGGAGGTCTGCCGCTGAGGGGAGCGGTGATCCTTCAGTGACGGTGTCGCAGTCAGAGGCCCTTTCGCCACCTTAGCCGAATGCCAATTAAGGCTCGTCGCTACGAGAGACAATGCCTAAACAGCCACGCGCTCGCAGGGGCTCGTGGAGAAACGGCGTGTAAACAGGAAGAAGAAGAAGAAGAAGAAGAAGAAGAAGAAGAAGAAGAGGGAGGGAAGGAGAAAAAGGTTGAGATGGAGGAAACAAAAGGTTGAGAGGGAGGAGAAAAATCTGGAGAGGGGGAGGAAAAAGTGGAGGGCTGAGAAAAAAGTTGAGAGGAAGGAGGAAGAGGATGAGAGGGAGGAAGGAAAATATTGAGAGGGAGGGGGGGTGGACGAAAAAGTTGAGAAGAAGGTTGGAGATAAAGTTGAGAGGAAGTGAGGAAAAGGTTGAGAGGGAGGGGGGAATAAATTGGGGGGAAGTGAGGAAAAGGTTGAGAAGAAGTGAGAAAAAGGTTGAGAGGAGTAAGGAAAAGGTAAGGAAGGGAGAGACAAGATGGTGGAAATGGGGGGAAAATATAGGTTGACTGCAAGAACGTAACTTCTCTGAAAAAGGAATTCTGCTTCTCAGTCGTAACGTCGACAAATTACGTGATATATGATCAGAAAAAGAGAAGAGGAAGTACGAGATGATGAGAAAGAAGTATCATAAGAGCAAGGCCTAGTAAGCAACGACTATACTGGGATGTTCTGGAAATGACAAGGTGGAGCTGATGAATGTGTGCTAGTGAACTCAGTATATTATGCAAATTACTGTAACCACACGAAAATGTTTCTTGGAGGAGACTCTTTTATAATAATGATAATGATGATAATTATAACACAAATTCAACGAACCATAACAACAAGTATATAAAAGTATATAGCAAGAAAAATGCTAGGATATTGAGTATTGCTTTGATGAAACTTAAACAATACAATGTTAGAATGCATATGTAATGTGAGAATTGAATCAACAAGAGGAGAAAAAGTGAAACGTCACACGTAAACGAACTTTTGAAGAAACAGAATGATTTCTGTACTATGTATTTGGCATTTTAGGGTCAGATTAATCAGACTTTTCCCAGATAGCGGTGATCTTGAGCCTGGAACCTGTTTTATTTATTTTCTATTCCTGGAGTAATGGAGTTACTGGCGAGCATGACGCTCTCCCTTCAGTGTACGAGGTTTACGTGACCCGCCTGGGACTTTCCTTTCGTCACAGAGCTACAGAAAGAGACGATTTGTATTAGAACTCTACAGCTTCAATTTTGCCCCAGGCGATATTAAGCCCGGAACTACGTCACAGAAAGTTAGCACGTTGTTCATGACCCATCCGAAGGGATGTAGAATGATCTATAAGGCATAAAAATAAGAAATGAAGCTGAGAAACATAAACGATTCAAGTGAAGAAATGGAAAGAAAGTTAATGGAAAGAACTAAGTAAAGAAGGTTGGATTAACGGAGTATTATCTCGATGGGATAATAACAACGTGGAAAAAATTAAGAACTCAGATAAGACAAAAGTAAAGTAGAGAGAGGATGGCATAATGGGAAAAGATAAGAGATGGACTAACAATGAAAGAAGCAGATGGAACGGATAAACAGAAGAATATTGTTTCATAGCTGGAGGAATATAAGCGCAAAAAAGGCGAGAGAAAGAGAGAGAGAGAAGAGAGAGAGAGAAGAGAGAGAGAGAAGAGAGAGAGAGAGAGAGAGAGAGAGAGAGAGAGAGTTTTGCGATAAGATAGAGACAGAAAGTATGAAGGATTTAGATATGACAGGAAAAGTTAAGAAATTAAGAAGATAGGAAAAGAAGAAAATCGTAATATGCAGAATGTAATTTTGATTTTACCGTAGGCAGAAAACAAACTCAGAAAACGGACTGAGAGAGGGAGAGACAGACAGAGAGAGAGAGAGCGAGAGGGAGGGATGGAGAAAGAGAGAGAGGCGATAAAAAGACAAAAATATAAAGGCGCAGCGTGCTAGACGGGGCTTGGGGGAAAAAGGGCTAAATCCCCGAGCGGCACCACAGTCTTGCAAAGCCGCTAATTGGCAAGTGTTAATTACAGACGACGCTTTCTCGCCCTCGCGCAGGCGGCAGTCATTTGTCTGCGCGCGACGCGGCCCACGTGCGTCGATGCGTCTTTTTTTCCCCTTCGATGCTCTTCTGTTTCACGGCCTTCCCCGTCATTCGGAGGTTTTCGAGCGGCAGACTTTTGCAGGCACCCCGGCTGTGTACTGACGACACGGATTAGCCAAGAAGTTACCAGGGCGTAGTAAATTAGTATTTGCTAGCGCGAGAGTGCGCGGTGTAAATTTAAATGAATTTTTTTTAAATCAAAAAAATGGAATGGGGGTGTCGAGTAAGAGGGTTGTTTTGGCGCGGCACTGTTGACTTAAACGCGAGTTGAGCTCGCCTTGAATAATTGGGAGACATTCACGGGCGTTTGTGGGTTTCGTTTGCTTTAAATGGCAGCCCTTTGATAGCATACAGGTGCAGCGTTAGTTGGTTTGCATTGCCTAATTAGGACATTCGATCTGGCTTTACGCCCCGATGGGCTTCAAGCTAGGCTAAGTTTCTTCTGCTCGACTTTGGGCGCAGGTCGAGGTAAGCCGGAACTTGTACGACGGTGTGAGGTGTGTTATCAGGTTGTAAAGGTACTTGATCAGTTTGCTACAAGTATTCGATGGATATTTGAAGTACCTCGCTGATCATGTATCGGTTTACAGAATTTATTGAGTGGATAAAACCTTGTTTTAGGCTATCCGATCACGGTGTTTCATGAATCATTTGTGTTTGGTGAAACATTTCTATTTTTAAGGAAATTAAATTTGAGCTAAGAGTGTAATGAAGAGCGTTTTTTAAGGACGAAAAATAGGTACCAGAACTTTTCATAAATTCTAGCTAATTTAATACCAATGTGAGAATTGACATTTGCACTACAGCTTTTCTGACGAAAAGTTGTGCATTACGAATTCACTGTTCATTGTTTGCTAAGCATTGTTAACGTTCCCCTAGGACGTGCTTTCAATTAGTCGTTGAAATTGGCATCGTGGCAATAATAAAGTAATTTAATGATTGGAAGTATACATAATCTGAAACGTTATCAATTTATTTTTATGTAGTATTTATAAAATTGATGAACATAATTGATTTGTATTCTTTATTTCAAAAAATAGCATAAAATAGAAAAAACGTCGGACTAATAATACATACTTACAGAGTATATATTTTCAACAAAAATCATGCAAGTAAAAAAAGTGACTTTAAGATATATACATTCACAATAAACATGCTGAAACTGAACAAATATATACTTTTGGCCTGAACAGTATATTATTTTACTAAAAATGAATTAAGTTAAATTATGATTGCAATATTTACATGAAAAAAACTTAGAAAAAAATTGAAATTACTATTACGAAATTTTTAAGATTCCAACGTGCAAACTACATATTGAAATACATTGAAGAGAAGTGACAATTCATTTAATTTCACGTATCACCTCGCGTCCTGGTCCTATACACTGCATCGCATGGAAATAACACAAAAGACCGTTCCCTCAGTGACTCAGCGGCTGCCAAGAATGCGGCGTCGCGAGCAATGTGGGCTGTGCCGGGAGATGTGATGTGAACCTTGAGACAGAGCACCGGGCGGCGGCCATCGAGAGGCAGGGGCAGATCCTGTTGCAGCAGGGTGGGGATCGCGGAAAGGAAAATGTGTTAGAGTAGTGAGGTTCGGTGTGGACTTGCAGACAAGTGATCGTGGATACGAATGGACGTAGTCAAGAGTGGTCGTGAATGCGAGCGGTCGTGGATGCGAGTGGTCGTGGATGCGAGTGGACGTAGACACGTCGCGGATGCGAGTGGTCGCGGATGGGAGTGATCGCGGATGCGAGCCGTCGCGGCTGCGACAGGAGGTGGATGAGAGGTGATGTGTTTTAGTAGCCGAAGGGTACAGTTGGACGAAAGGTATGAGTGAACTAGAAGTATCACAGAACGAAGAGTTTAAATGAACGTGGGGTGTGAGTGAATGTGGAAAATGGGTGGATGTTGACTATGGTTGGGCGTTTGAATGGGTGGATGTGGGGTGGAAATGGACGTGGAACATGGAACGCCGAGAGGTATGACGTGCATGGGGTATGGATGGAGGTGGGAAATGGATGATTGTGGAGTACGAATGTGCGTGGGTAATAAGTAATTAGAAAATATGGATGGACGTGGAAAACAGGTGGTTGTGCTGTATGGATGATCGTTGTGTATGGGGTAAGAGGCGAATAAGTGGGCGTGGTATACGGGTGGACGTGGGGTCGACGTACACGTATTTTCCAGTTGGGAGGTTAGAGCAGGGAAGAGCCACTGAGTGTTGTGACGAGACACATCGGATAATGTGCCTTGAGGCGTGGACATGGTGTAGGCGTTTCCAGGGTGGATACTCAATATGTGTTGAAATAGGCGTCAATTTCTTTTAGCGAATGGAGAATAATATTTTCGGACTAATCGGAGCCGCGGTACAGGTTTTGTTAATGAAGGCTGTTGGGGTACAAAAATTTAAGAGTGCTTTTTACTTTCTCGTATCCGTACGTATATATTGGAGTAATATACTATAATAGGGAGAGTTATGTATTGCTGCGGAAGGTAGATTTCGAGATTTCAACGAAATACACATTTTGGGGTCACTTGAAACCGAAAAAGTGGTGTTATTGCAAACCTCTGTCCGTCTGTCCATCTGTCTGTCTGTCTGCCCGTCCGTCTGTCTGTTGTATGTGAACAACACTAGCACCTAAACTATGGATGTTTTCCAAATTGAAGAAGACCCGCTTTATTTGGCGTCAGTCGAGGCTCTGCAATTTTGAAAATCATTTATTAGTATTTGGGGTACTTTTCATGAAGGCCTGAGGCATTTTCAATTTTTTAAAAAAAATTGTTCCAATTTTTTTCTTTAAATTTCCTTCCAGAGAGAAATACACTTATAAAGGTGTCATAGATCCTATTTTTATGGTTAACTCTAAATTTCCGAAAAATCATAAAGTTTGAGCATTTGGGGTGTCCTCCTACAAAAAAATTAAAGATAGAGATTTTTACTTCAAATGAAATTTGTTGTTCTTAATTTGTTCTTTCATTGAAGTCATTAAAGTACATTTTTTCCAACTTATAGAAGATTTCGCTTAATATTGCGCGCAAATTGTGTAATTTTAAAAAATTACAAAGACAAGATTTTCTGAAAAA